ATGACTCACCCTGTATAGATAGGAGGTACATATGATACATGTGGTACATATGATATGTCTTACTTGCGAGTGGTAATCGTGTGGTAGTCGAAAATTTCCTAATTTAATTGACCCGCGTGAACCTAGCACCCCCACCATCAAAAAAAATAAAAAATCATACATCATATTTAAGTGCTATTTTAGTGCTAATTTAGTGCCCACTTCCTAATTTTAGTGCTCGTCTGGTTGAGCAGAAAATTGCGAGTGAAAATGTTTATAAAGTTTATAAAGCTAGACCCCCACATTAAAATATTTAAACAAAATTAAAAAATAATATATCGAAATTTAGTGCTATTTTAGTGCTTTCGAATGCACTACTCAGAATTTCATTTAAGGTATTAATTTTAAAGATACTTGATAAAAACGTATTGGAGTCAATAGAAAAACAGATAAACATAGAAAAAATACATTTAAACATAGTAATAGGGAAACGATTTTGATCTCTAATGTTTCAATGATTTTGGTGCTTTTAAAGTAGTTAATGCCAAATTTTAGTGCTCAACCCTTAAACCCAAATAATCACATTTTTACTATTTTATAGTCTTACATCCAAGAGTAAAGTATCATTAAAAATATAGATAGAAAAATGATTTTTGTTTCATATTCTTTGTTCATTTTAGTGCTTTTAAGATAGCTAAAGTCAGATGTTAGTGCTCAACCCTTAAACCCAAAAAATCACATTTTTACTCTTGGAGGTCAGACTACAAAATGGTAAAAGTATGATTTTTTGAGTTTAAGGGTTGAGCACTAAAATTTGGCATTAACTACTTTAAAAGCACCAAAATCATTGAAACATTAGAGATCAAAATCGTTTCCCTATTACTATGTTTAAATGTATTTTTTCTATGTTTATCTGTTTTTCTATTGACTCCAATATGTTTTTATCAAGTGTCTTTAAAATTAATACCTTAAATGAAATTCTGAGTAGTGCATTCGAAAGCACTAAAATAGCACTAAATTTCGATATATTATTTTTTAATTTTGTTTAAATATTTTAATGTGGGGGTGCTAGCTTTAAAAACTTAGCACCGCCATTTTCAATCGAAATTTTCTGCTCAACCAGACGAGCACTAAAATTAGGAAGTGGGCAATAAATTAGCACTAAAATAGCACTAAATTATGATCTATGATTTTTTTTTGATGGTGGGGATGCTAGGTTCACGCGGGTATTTAATTGAGATATTGAAATATTAGCAACAACCCCAAAATTTATTCTAACAAACCCGAAGAAAATGTTTTCTCCAGTTCGGTGGATCACTCCATAAAATTGCCAAAAAAAAACTTCGTAAAAATCCTCCCTTAGCACTTTAAGGAAATTCGGAACAAAAATAATGCATTTAAATATCAATGAGATGGTTTATTCGTTAAAAGTTTTTCAAACGACGAGCGGACAAATTGTATACTTATTTTCGTCTTCTTATTCTTCTTTGTCTTTTATTATCTTTTCGTAAAGTTTTGAAATCTTTTAGGCAAACAGAACGACGAATTGGTCGAAAAAGTACAATATTCAATTTGTGTTATTAATTGGCCAGCATTAATTAGACAACTAATTTCTTCATCGTGCTTTCTTATCTTTGTTTAATTACTTGTTGATTCAACTTGTTAATTGGTCTCTTAGTTTAATATAAAATTTTACCAAAACAAACTTTCCTATTTTACCCTAGGATATGGAATATTCATGGTCTTCAGGAGACTTGCGAATAGCCTGTAAATATCTTTTAGAATTTCATCATAGTTTCGCCGAAATACTGTGAATTTTTGTAGAAATATTTATGAATTTCAGAGCAGTTTGCTTTTTTAATGGACATTCAATTAAACGAGGAGTAGAGCAAGTAAAAATTTCGTTCTAGTTTCTAGTTTTTTCTTTCCTCCACTGGAGGACCAGAGGATATGAAAAGGCAAAGTGAATACATTCGAGCATAAGTAAACATAATCGTCGTGTTCTTATTTGAGAGATACGAGGGCGAATCAAATATGAACCGGAATTTTGCTTTAAAAATTTATTGGTAAATTTAATAAAACTTTGAATATATCTTGTTTTTCTATGTAATTTCCACCTTTATTTAAACAGCCTTCCAACCGAATATTTCTTGATGTTTCCCGTCATCGAAGAATGAATCTAGTCACGTCTGTAACCAATAGGGAATATACAAAAAATTTAAATTTGTCTCAAATATATATTCTAGATTCTTTATTGTCTTTACATTACACTTAAAAGGTATTTTTTATTTAGTTAATATTTAAACACAGAAATTATTATACAGATTGCTTCAATTCAGGCCGCAACATGGTCGTTTTATGAGTGGAACAAAGAAAGATTAATAAAATAACAGTTGTCAGAGTGAAAAGTTGCAATGACGCAAATGTCACTCTTTCTTTTTCCTTTGTAAGTGTCTAATGGAAGTTGTCTTTGTCGCACCTATAGCCTATATAACCTAAGTTGCGCTCTGGAATGAAGCGTAGTGTATAGAAGGTGAAAAATAAAGGAGAGAAATTAGTCGAAAGGAAATGTGACGTTTTGACACAAAAATATATGAAGAGAGTCCAAAATAAAGGAAAAACTGTAAATTACATTTTTCTCCTTTCTGTTTCATTCTGATGTTATACAGTGCATTTCTATAATGTCCCCACCCTTTTATTTTTTGAACGGATCACTTAAAAAATTGAAATTTGGGATAATGAAACTAGTGCATGATTACCTACTATATTTTGAAGTAAAATTGACAGATAAAAATTTCAAGATGGCGACTGGGCGCCATCTTGGGAAATAAATTTAAATAGAAAGGGGGGTCTTGTGACACATCATTTTGAAGCTCATGACAAATACTGTACAACCCTGGAATATAAAGTCAATATCTGCACCTGCTACAAAATGGCGGGCATTTAATAATTACCTGAATACAAACAAATTAATATCAATTTTTCTAGAAATATTTATTTTTCTATGCCAAATAGCAATCCCAACAAACCGATAATGTTTGACAGGTTATTTTTGGTTAAACCTCTTGCTCAGACATGATGGTACTAACAGCCAATCGGCTCTAAACGAGCCAAACTGATTTACTCGCCACTTTTACATTTACATCCCCATGCAATAAATATTAAGACGTGGTATTACTTACTTCACCTAGGGAGCGTTGAAAAGAAAATTCCGGTTGATATTTGATTCGCCCTCGTAAAATATGTTATGTCAAACATGAAAGAGAATTGCGATTTCCAGGATATTCGGTAGCGATTTTAAATTTTAATTTAGCCAGCAGGACGTAAATATACAGATACTGCTAAGATCGATGATCCTCTTTTTGTAAAACTACATTGAGTTTAATACTAATATTTAATACTAATATTTAGTTTAATTTAATACTAATATAGCAAACTAATATAAACAATCATTGTTGGAGAACAAATTTATAGGAATTCCTATAAAAATCATTTATTATGAATTCTTTGCTTTCGTTTGGTTTCTAATACGTTTAATTCCAATAATCTTTTCATTTTATTTTTTAACACACAGTAGTCGATTCGGATACTTTTAGGTGAAACTTGTAGCATTATATAACAGCGTTTATAATACAAATTAGAGAACCTCCCATAATATTTTGTTTTCTCGTCCATCGATAATAATAAAATCGAAATTTATTATTAAAATCCCAATTTTACCCGGAAATAATAGAGCGCATAAAATTTATCACTCCCGGCATACATACATATACAGGGTGGCACATTAGTATGGAAAAACTCAATATATCAGTTATTGTAGAAGATATCAAAAAAAACTTCATTACAAAAGTTGTAGATCTTTTTAAACTGAACATTTTAAAATTAGTTACATTTATACAGAGTGTCCCGTTTACCCGTAGTAGATCAAACTTATACTTGTTTAAATGGAACACCTTGTTTTTTATTTAAAAATTGAATTTAGCTCGTTTTCAGCTTTCCAAAAATATAATTTTATATAACGTTATACTGAGTGATTTAAAAGTTATGACCACTTTTCCACGAAAATCGTATACTAAGTTTACCACTCTGTAGAAACTAAATGGATTGAATTGAAAATAAATTTCAGGTTTTACAACATTGCAAATATCCTGAAAATGTACAAAATAAATATTTTTTGTCAATTTTAATCATACTGCTTACAGGGTGGATCCAAATGGAAAAGTAACATTTTCTCTGTTAATTTAAATAGATCTCCCTATATTTTATATCGTTAATAGGAAGTATTTTTGAAGTACTTTTATTCTTAATTTTTCAGTGTTAAATTACAGTTAAATACACAAGTTTCATTGGTATTTAAAATACATTTTTGTCCAAAATTTGAGATACCTACTAATATTTAAAGTTTAAATACATTTTTATGAGCAATTTTGAAAACACTCAATAAATTATATTTCCCCTGAAAACAAAAATTTTTAGTACCTCTAACTTCGGATCATCCCCTGGCGTAGATATAAATTTTGTAAATAGTTTTTTTTTTGGCAATTTTCAACTTAATTCAGGTTATCCATGTGAAATATTGTTTGACCAATAAGAAATTTAAATGTATTTAAATATATAAAGAAAATATTTGTATTTGTAATTAAATAAATTATTATTAAGCCGAGTATTTAAATACAAGTCAAATACATTTTTTTAAAAGTATTTGTATTTGTATTTAAATACATTATTCAAAATATTTTTAACAACACTGCAATTGTTGCAATTGTTGCATACATACAGGTTGATGCATCTTAGTTTGCTAGGGATGCAACAATGACAACTTCAGACACTTTTACAAAAGAAAGAGAAATATGATATTACTGTGAGAGATGATATTGTGACATCTCACTCTAACAACTGTCATTTTAATATTTCTTTGTTCAACTCACAGAATTGTCCATCTTGCAAACTTTGATGCACTTATGTGTAGGTGTTGATTATTTATTAATTGATAGACACATTTTTTGATATGAAACACTTACCGAAATAAAGGAGTAATAAAATAGCGTTGCATCTCTCCATATCTTTCTCTCCGATGTCGATTCACTATATTATTTATTCACTGCACTTCCACATTTCGAGGTCAGTTCGTCTGCAACAATGTAGGAGAAGAATAAGTTAAATATCAAAGGTATTTTTTTAATTCGACTTTATACTAGCCGAGCTGGTTCTTCGTTCATTAAATGGAATCAAAGCAAAAAATACTTTCATTTAACTATAATAATGTTACTTTTTCTAAAGGAAGCTGTAACGCTAATTGCGCCATCGTTCGGAGGTTTCCACCAAATTTAAAACTATATAAGATATATCTTAAGACCAATATAATGCATATCAATGTATTCCGATTTGGATATATTTGGAAATATTTTTTAACTATGTTTTGCTTTTTGACAAAAACTGTTTTTTTCTAAAAATCTCATAACTTGATGAATTCTAAACAGGTCAAGGTGTTAAGCTTTATAAAGTCTTCTCATTTATTTCTGGTACTATTATAACCATATGTAGATATTTACATACCTTTTAGCGTATGTAAGTTTTAGTTTCCGTTTTAGCTCATGTAGTCAATGAGTAAAAACAGGGTGTTTCAGAACTATGGGATCAAACTTCTAGGGGTTATTCAGTCCAGCAGTAGAAAATACTACAAAGTTTTCTACTACAAAGTATTGAATTGTTTTAATTAAAGCCTGTCCAAATAGCTAAATTTCCATATTTACAAGATAAAAAGATGCCCAATTAGGACTGGAGGGATTATAAGATAATGTCGATATTATTGATTTAACTTAATTCAAATTGCGACTAAAAGGTTAAGAATAAGCATAGAATAGAATTTAAAGAAATTAAGGCTGGTATTTGGACCAGGAGAAGTTTCTAAATAATATGCATGAATGAATCGTAAATGAAGATAGAAATAAATTACGGTTTATAAGAAGAACGTACGAAATAAAGACCAGAAAATTTATTATCGACTGGCGCCCTTAGCGTGAAAATAAAAATACTTCCCAAAATTCCATTGTTATTCACGCCAGAGTAAATTTTCGGTACGTCAGACTGGGAATTTCCCTTTTTTTAAAAAATGCCCCTTAGTTCTTATTTTTTATTAGCTCAACACATGGGCTGTACTCGTATATTTCCTGATAAACTTCCGAACTATCCGGGTATTCCGAGATAAATAGAATGAAAGTCTAATGAGTCTAATGAAATGAAAAATTGCTGAAACTCTTATTATCTTATTATTATAGCAGATGAATTGGAATGTGTTTTTCACTGGAGTTTAAGGTCCAATTGTTAGTTATTAACAATTTATTGCAAAAAAGAAGAGATTTTTTTCTTTTTTTGCTTGTAACTTTGAAACTAATGGAGCAATAGGAATGCCTCAATGGAATGATTTGTAGAGAATTAAAATATCTACAGAATAAGAGGTTGAACGTCTCAATCGGATAATTAGGCTCTGAAAAATTTAGGAAAAACCGGAAAATTAGGCGTTTTTTCGAAAATTCATAGCTCCGTCATTTTTTGAGCTGGAGCGCTAAAAATTTGAGAGAAAATAGGGATGGTAATGTTCTTTATGTGTCAAAGAGGGGTGATGTGTGGGATTATTAGTTTTTTTGAAATCGCGATTGAAAGTTTTTTTCGGCAGGCCTGTATACGTTATCGTAAGTCCGATAATAATTTAATAACGCCCTTTATAATAGACCATGATAACTCAGTTCAGTTTCATTTAGTACTGTGTCTGGACATTATCGATACCAAATTTGAAACTTCTAGGTGAATTATCATGGAAAATGCATTCGTCGGTTTTTTTCAAAAAAAAATCAAAAAAATTAAATAGCTTAAAAGTGGCGCATTTTTGGTACATGATTTTTTATCAAAGTCTAGTTAAAAAGAGCCGCAGAATCCAAAAATGAAGTCAAAAATGATACTTTGCATTTGAAATAACGAAGTTGACATTTACTTTCGGTACAACCGAGAGTTACATATGGTTGAAAATATTTTAGAAAAACCCGCAATATTGATTATCCTTTACTCCTAAATTTTCAGATTTCTAACTCTTCAGGATCTCCTATAACTTCTAATGGAGGGTTTTCTTGAAAAGCACTGTATAGTCTTATTGTCACGAGAATGTTGTTTTAAATCCCTATAGCTTGGCCTAAGGAGTCAAGGTGTGATGTGAAACAAAGAAGGGATTATCTATCCAGAATTTTAAGGATGTCTTGTGATCCATTATGTTGAAGTTGCAGTTTCTTGTTTGATGTTAAATGGTTAACAAAAAAACCCTTGTAGGTTATTAAAAAAGATTTATAGACATTTCAAGTTTGTATTTTTGTGAAAGTTTGAACTACTAGATGCCGAAATACACAAAACAGCATATTTAAAGGAACAGACATAAAGTCCATAATCCATCCAGACATAATTGGGGCACTTTTTAGAAATTTTTTTCAGAGAGCAAGTCGAAGTTGTCAGATTTAAAATAAAATACTGTTTTTACAGACTAACTAGTACAGATATAGAATCATTTTATTGTACATTTTGAACTTATTTCAATATCCAATTAAATTCATTTTTGGTAATATTTATAGTTGGTATTAAGCACGGTCCTATATTTATAAGGTCTGGAAACATGGGTCGAAAAACTCTCCCGTTATTTGAGGATAAAACAGGGTTCCTAAAACAGCCGCTAGGAGGCGATATTGTAAAGGATCACGGTTTTTTGCGTACGAATTATATACATAGAATTACCATTTAGAAAGGTTATATTCAAACTAAACATAGATACAAAATATAAAAATATACTTAAATCAACGATGATTTTGTTGTTAACATCATGCCTCACGTATCTTCGGTTGATGTATTTCTCCATTTTCTCCTCGAAATGTCATATAATAATTTTTTTGAAGTTTTGACAGGTTGAACTGTCGTCTCACAACCGCGATTTATATATAGCGGGACGCTGATTGGCTGAGATAAATTGATCCTCCGATCTTCGCCACCTTGCGGCGCAAAAGTGAAGCTCATAAAGTCCTCAAATAACGGGACACATTCCCTAATAATGCATAAGCATAGGGAGATTCCAGACCTTAGAAATATAGGGCCGTGGTATTAAGTCACCCATTATAGCGGCTCTTTGCAATACAAACAAAATTGATGATAACAAATAAAAACAATAATCCGAACAAATTAAATTGATTAATTTATTACCATTTATTGTTAAAATCTCTGTAAAACGCGTTTGAAATGTAAGACAAAAAACCCTTTTGAAGTTTTGACAACAGACAACGCCCACATTTGAGATTTTGACATTGAAAACTTTAATTATCACACGGAACATTGATAGCTAACTACATATAGACTAAGACAATGAAATATAGAAATATATTACATTTTCAATCTGTAAATTTGCCAGTGTGTATAGTAAATTGTTTTTTTATCAGTCAATCCTATTATTTTCATTCATTTTTTTCCATAAATATCACTCGAGTTGCTGGGGTGTAGGCATTGTGAATAATTCATTAGTCCCGAATACTCGAAAATATGACGACCTTTTTATTTTAAAACTCTGGATTTTTACAAACGCATTAACTATTCATGGTGCGTTTACCACCTACTGAATACTTTAGCCCGTTTCGTTCGGGCCTAAATCGCTTCAAATTATAATAGAAATCAATGCAGCTTTCGATTTTGTTCGCGATTTTCACAAGTTATTTGCAATATTTTCAATTTGTCGTTCTAGCAGTTTTCCGGAAAATTATGTACATGCCAGTTTGGCGTCAAGCTAGCATGTACTTACACCATTTTCAAGAAAAAATTGTAAAGCTTTAGGCAGTTTATGCAAACTCTCAACAACAAACATTGCGCACTGTGTAGGATTAACTATTCCAGAATCAGAGGGGAAACTGGATAAACCAGAGACTATCCAGAGGCGGTTATGCGGATAAACAACAGTTTTATTGACAATATTTTTTTTATTTCATCTGCAATCTTTAGAACTGCTTGTAAATTTAAATCAATGAATCTTTCACGGCGCCATTTTTTATTGAAATGCCTTCCTTCCAAATGAAACATGTAAACCTTTTCAAGCATTCAATTCACTTGAATTCATGTCAACGCAGCTTAACAGGTTTTAAACAATCCTACACTCGAAATATATTATACGAAATAATTTTCCCTTATCTTAATACAAAACAGCAATGTTTACGATCGTGTGATATGAATATGAAGCCGATGTTTATTCTGAAATGTCCCTATTAACACCGTTTAATGGTCTGTAAATTTGTAATCTCTGTCGAAGCGTGTTTGTCGTAGGGGATTCCTGTTGAAATAATTCCATTGCGGCATATTTTATTCAAATTTAACATTTCGATTTTAGATTTTCCAAGCATCTACTACTCGCAATGCAAGAATAATTTCCGCAGTTACTTTTATTATAAAATACAGGGTGTTAATTAATTGTATGCCGATACTTCAGGATGTGAATATTTTGATGATTTTAAGAAGAAAAGTTTATATCAATGTATGTCCTAAACCTCTTAGTTTTCGAGCTACAGGGTGTTAAAATTTTAGGTAAAAAATAAATTTTTCCCTCATAATTTTCTTATTACGGCAGATATTTTTATGCAATTTCGGACGTGGACGTTACTGATAATAGTAGAAAATTAATTTTTATCCCCAAAAAAAGTGTTTCCATGCATGGTCGGCGTCTACCAAATTTCAACAAAATATCAAAAGCAGTCTCAAAATGAACTTGGGAAAAAATTGTTTTGATTTTTATTTGTTTACGCGAAAATGGTGTGTCTTACGAAAGTAAGTCTTCTGACCAAATTTGCTACAAAATAAATGAGGATTTTAAAAATAATTTTAGTTTTTAGAAAAAGCAGTGATGTACCATTTTTTCTTTAAACATATTCAGTTCAATTTCAAACCCCGTACGTCACTGGTGAATATTTAAAAAAATCTTATGCCTCAAAAAATGCTCCTTAATAATTAAAAAGTGTATACAAAATTTCTTAAAATGTAGCTCGAAAACTATGAGGTTTAGGACATACATTGATGTAAACATTTCTTCTTAAAATCAATCAAATATTCACATCCTGAAGTATCGGGATTCAATTAATTAACACCCTATATATTATTGTAAAATATCGTTAAGGGTAAAACGTTTTTTTGAGTATTTAATTTATTATCTAATTATCTATTAATTCTTTAACTTAAACTTCAACGTCTTCTCTGAGCTTCTTATTTTTCAATTTACTATATTCACCGATTTTTTAACCATGCCACTTAGGTACTCTTTATAATAGTTTATTTATTGATTTTTTACAATTTCTTTACAACTTCATATCGCTTATCAAAGAATTTCTAATGTTCAGTGAATGAGAGAAAGGCATCAAATCTCTTAAAAATAATTGAATATTTATATTTACGGTAATTTATTTTACCCATTTTCGTCGAATAAATTACAGTCAAGCGTTAAAAGGAGTATTAAAAGTATATCTGGAATTTGAAAGTGACCACAACCACAGGAATTATGTGAAATTCCCTCGAATTTAAACGTTTTTGGAAGTGTTATTTTTAGACACCGGTTGAATAATATTCCCTTAAAAATAATTGTTTGCCTGAAGTTATTGTTATTAAAAACATATCTTTTCTATCGGCAGGTAAATATCATTTTTCCACGTCCCGAAAATACTCCTAAAGTACACGAACAATTTACTTTAATCGTTTCGTTTAAACTTTAGCCGAAACTATTTTTAGCGATCCGGGTGAATTGAAATAGGAATCTTCCCAGGATTTCCTTAATTATCTCTTTCACGGAGAAGACTTCCGAAATTAACAGCAGTTTTAATCCTGAAAACCCTGTTATTCATTATTCTCATAGACAATCCAATCAAACTTTGATGAAAAAAGGACTAAATAATACAGAAATTACAACATAAAAATATTAATTAGTTGAAAACAGGCTTTGTACAGGGTGGTCCTCTAAGAATGGCTCTCGGCCATATCTCGCAAACTAATTGTCTTAGAGACTTGTGGATATAAAAAATTTGGTCTTTTTTTCCACGACATGCTTATTTTTTTGCCTCTAAACCAGTGCGAATAGAAGGAAAATCCATCAGTAATTATTGAATGAAATATACTTTGCTTGGTGTTTCTAAATATCATACTTGAATATTAATAATAAATTGATTAATTTTGTGGATGAACCAACGCTAATTAGGGCTTTTATAATGGAAGTTGTTCCACAACAATATGTCTAATTTCTTGTTTTTTTCTTTTTTTAGAGGTTAGGAAAGGGATATCGAGATGTGGTTTTTATAGGCTTGTTTGGCAATTATTTGACTATTTTTCTACAAAGAAAAAGTTATATCGTTGCATTTATTATTATTTTTTTTGAGGAAATCGGTGTTTTTTGAGGATATATCGGAAAACGCCCTTTTGCTGCCAAGCAAGCATTTAAAATAATATTTTATATAGTGTAAATTATAGATCAAGGAGAATCTTTTTCAACGATTTCATTTTTATGGAAATCCGTTCGGCCGTTTAAAAGTTATTAAACATTTATTTGTCAAAATATTCAAACCTCCCCCACAACTTTATTTTAAAAGATAGAGTCAAAAATATATAACAAAAAATAATCGAAATAATCTCAACTATCAAAATAATACACATTTTTTGTACCTTTATTTAGGAAATTTAAAAAAAAAATGACTTTTAAATATCAAGATGGCGGATACTCCCCCTAGCGGCCATTTTATAGACTTATTTTCCTTATATAAATTATTTCCAGCATTTTCTTTTGGCCGATTTAGTTATAAGATTTTTTACCGCAAGTCTCTACGACAATTAGTTTTCGAGATATGACCGAGAGCCATTCTTAGAGGACCACCCTGTATAAAAAACACTAGCTATACAGGGTGTGTCACGACAAGCTTAAACTATCTGTATATTGGAAAATACTTATTCAATTTGAATAATATTTGATATACATGTGTTATGCAATAAGACGAACCTTTTAAAAATCTTTTACACTTCCGGATATACCGGAAGTAGGCATCAACTATGTTTTTTCAAATTGAACACCCTATATATTAATATATTTTCGAAATATACGTAAAATATTAGGGTACTTTTGTCTAAAACATTTTTTTCAAAAATGCATACTTTTTGTGTTATCTTGTAAAATTGAGTTAAATTTAAGAATACGGCAGAAAAGTATAAAGTGTTACTTAAAATTTTTAATATCTTCAAAACTAGGTATAGGTATAGGGAAGTGAACATGAACTTCCCTTATTTTTTAGCTTTGATTTCTTTAAAATAGAAAAAAATGAATGGTTCCATAGTTAAAAAAATGAAGAAATTTGATATATTTGTGTTCAACTTTCTACAATTTTTATACACACTCTGTATAAAATAAAAAGTTTTGTAGCACAGGTTCAAATACCTTTGTCCTTTCTAGTGGTCACCGTACAGAAACCCTTAGAAGGCTCCAAAATCATTTGGAACTGTCTAGAACTATTAAGAACGCTCCAGAACCATTTAGAACTGTCCAGAATTATTTAGAACTGTCTAGAACCATTCAGAACTGTCCAGTAATATTTACAACTGTCTAGGACTGTTAAGAATTGCCTAGAATCATTTGGAACGCTCCAGAAAAGAGAAAAATAGATGGGAAAGTCACAAAAACACAAAATTGTGCTCAAAACCTGTCAACTACAAATAGCGAAATTTTGGGACTAACGATATGGCAACAACGCATCAGCATTTCAAACGCGCTCCGTAAAATTCCCCTAGTCAAATGGCAGAATTACCATTGACACTAGGGAAATTAAACTGCAAGGAAATTACTAAAAATTACGTCATTGTTATTTTAAAACTTTGATATTTTGATAACTATTGATTTGATATTTTGAAACTTTGATATTTTTTAAATAATAAGACATGCACAATAATACAGAATACAGGTAATGTTCTATATTTATTTAAATGAATAATTACCTACCGAATTTAACTTTTTATCAATTCCAATTTTCCCCAACTACTGCATACCAGCAATAAAAAATTCTAAACCAGTAACACCAATAAAACCGACAGAAACCGCACTAAACACTGCGAATCATTTGGAAAAATTAACTTTCCCGCAATTTGAACACAATTCAAATGCTTTCCGAGTTTTCCCCCAACTGCGTAATGGTGGGTGTAACTGGAAATAGCGGTGATTTCTGGAGAACGAGTTTTCCCGACTAGCCCGGCAGGACTCGACTGAATACTGCTTGCAGTGCTTATACTTATACCGACTGAACTGATGTTGGAGAATCAGGAATCAGGATGTTCTCGGCAAATGAGCAGAATGAAAGCGCGCGCTCTGCCAGGGACCTGTTTCATATAACTGACAAGTTGACAAGTTACAAGTGTTGGTTGACAAGTATTTAAAAATTTCGTTTCATAAAATAAATTTCGACACTTGTCGAATTAAATTTTTGGCATCCGTTTTTCTACAACTGTAATTTTAATTAAACGTCAGACTTAAGCCAAAAAGAAAAAAAATAGTACTTACTATAGTGGGGAGCATAAGTATCACCACCTTCCTTTTTTGATATTGGGAAACTTTTACTTTGAAATTGTTTTTTTTTTCTGGTTGGAGCTATTTTTAGATGTGAACCACGACAATTTCGTTTATTGACAAAAAACTTATTTCTAAAATGCAGCAACATTTATTTAATATTCAATTATTTTAATAAAGAAAGGGCATTCTATTTGGAAAATTTAGTCCCACTTCTACAAAAGCTATAAAATGAGCATTGAAACGAACCAAGACAATGCATAATTTCTATACGTTGGTTCTATACATTAGGGGGGGACCAATAGATTTTAATATTTCCTCCATTTTCATCGAATTCATTAGAAATCGTTTAATAAACTCTCATTAAGCTTCCTCCTCCTCACTGTCGCTTGACCACATTTTCTTTTAAATTTACAAGAAAATCGGATGGTGACAGGAAATCAAGTCCCTGTCGCTTTACACTAATATATGATAGGAATAAATGACAAGTGTTGTTTAATTTATTTTTTATGAAACGCAAACCTATCTACAATTGTAAAACATACTTGTAATATTAGGCTAGTCACTTGTCACTAATAATCTACTCGTGTAATTTTATGAAACACAAACTTGTCAAATACTCCACTCAAATTTGGACTACACTTGTTCGACAGGACTTGTCAGTTATATGAAACAGGCCCCAGGATGCCACCTTCGCGGGTGATAACAGTTAAATTTTTAATTAAGTAATGCCAGGTTTTAAAAACTCCAGTTAAATAAACGTTTCACCAACACTTTTAATCTTTAGTTAGCTATTTAACAGTTTTACGGGTTCTTGCACCAATGGGATTTAAAGGTGTAGTTTAATGGTAAATTCAAGTTAAATTCAATTTTTATGTTGCACCACTTACACAGGTTGAGTCATGAGGAATCGTACATACTTTAACATTGTATAGAGGCACTTAAGGTGAATATCATGCGACCATTAAAAGTGCCTTATATATGAATATTTTATATTGAGTTAATTTTAAGATTTTTTTTGTTATTTTAGGACTTTTTCATAGAAAGGAATAAGTAATTAGTCGTTTTTATTGATTTTTAATAAAAATTTGTACGATATAAAATATTATTTTAATGTTAACTATCCGGTTATCCTAAATGTGTAATTTTTCTTAAAAGTTAATTGATAATTGACAATTTAAACAAAGTGTGGCAAAAATTTCCGATGCTCAGGCTTTAAGAGTTACTTATACCTTCTACATTAACCAAATAAAAATTTAGAAAAAGTGTATACAGTGTGAAATATTAAGTTTGGAAATATTTACCTCTTTTTTTTAAGACCGACCTGAATTTTTTTAATTCTGAATATGCCAGTGTGTCGCTGGTTCAAAATGTATACTTTTACCAAAAAATAAACCAAATCGAAATAACGATTATAAAGATATAAACAAAAGAAAATTTCGTCAAATTTCATAAATCACCCTGTATCTCCTTAGAGAAGAGGCGGATGGCACTTTTAATGGTCGTATGATATTCACCTTAAGTGCCTCTATACAATGTTAAAGTATGTACGATTCCTCATGACTCACCCTGTATAAACTAAAGTTAACTTTTTAATCTTCGCTTAAGATTAAACGGTAAATTTTGATGGTTTATGAACAGTTTAAGCGAAAATTGACTGTACTGTAGTATGCAATCAGTTAATTAGACGGAAAATTAGCAATAAAATATCTTTTTGTAATATGGTCGGGGGTAGATTTTCTCATAAGGTTGTTTATTTATGAAATTTGACCATCGTAAAACTATTTTTGAGTCCCTATATAGAGCTGTTTGAAATATGATTCGAAATTTTAGCTTTTCTCCTTAATAAATTTGAAAAATGTTTCAAACAAAACTTGCTAATTTTGATGCCATGAATCCGAATTTTCAATAAAAATTAGGGGTTTCTATTTAAATTTTTAAAGTTACCTTATAATTTATAATCTTAAAAAATGTCTTTTTCACAGAATACTGAGAATACATAACAATTCTTCGGCATACTTTCTATTAATTATACTTCATTTTTTCTACTTATTCTCCTATCAATCCCAATGATACTTCACAAAATACAGAATTACTTTGAGTTTCCATTATTACTTCTAAAATGCACACGATTGCATGATTTAATCCTGACATTCGCAAATATCATTCGAATGGAAACAAAGGCCAGAGAGAACTCGTATTATCCAGGAATTGAAGTGGGGAATTGTAAATATAGAGAATGTATGACTAATCGAGAGTCACTCGAAAGATTGATACAGTATAATTATTAAATTTTTATTATGGATCAATCGATGTTGAGGAGGTTGATAATCAGACAGAAATATTTGTTTCATGTTACGAAGAGAGACACCTGTGACAAAAAATTGTCCGGAAATTCTGATTTAAATTACCAGCACTTAATATTTTTAACAATTTCAAGTTTCTGTATGTTGGTAATGCTGTTCTCAATTAGCATGTAATAAATTAGAGAGATTTTTCAACCAGATTGGTTGTAGCAATAGATTGAATCAATTCATCTCAGTAGTGTTTTGCAAACTTTACAATGGACAATAATAATGACCAAGGAGATATTCTCCTAGTCTCATATTTTCATTCCAAATGCTTAAGGTCACTCTATTTTATTGAAAGCCTAAATTTACGAATGGTACAAAACTTTTAAAAACCAATCGGGAGATCGCTAAAGACTTGTCTTGTTCCGGATGGTCTTCGACCTCTTTAACCAATGGTAATGGCGATAAAATGAAGAAAATTGAGTTCGAAAATCATCATGCTAGTATTACCAAAATAGCACATGACTTCAACATCTCTCGTGAAACCGCTGCTTTGAATTTGCTCAATCAATCAGACATGTTACAAATTGAGGCTAGGCTCTTTCCGGTAGAGTTGACTTTCTTCAAAATCGGTAAAATCAACTGGTCGCTGCAAAAATGCTGATTTGTTTGAAGTATCATCAACCAGCCGCTTTACTCACCAGATTTTGCCTCGTGCGACTATTTTTTTGTTTCCCAAGCTCAAATTGACACTTCAGGAATTCCGTTTTCACTCCATAAATGCAATCAAAGAAAATTAGCAGAAGGAGACAAAGCCATGCCAAAAAAAAGTCTATAAAAAATATGTATTTCAATGATTGGAAAAGGTATACAGGAGTATGTGTATCGCTTCAAAAGGAGTATATTTTGAAGATGATTCAAGAAATAATAATGAAGATTAGGAATTTTGTCTTTTATTCCAAATTTCCGAGTACTTTTTTTGTCACTGTGTAATTTCAAATGTGCTCGAGCAGTATCCAAAAATGTGTTAAAATTAGTCGAAATTAGTTGATATCCAGTAGCAAAAACTGGATCCAAAATTCGCCAATTAAAAATTAATGCATATCAATTGAATTTTAGCTTCCTTTTATTGCAGTTTAATAAAAAACGCAATTATTTTGAAAATTAATTAAGATAAAAGCATTTTTAAAATAGGAACAAAAATATAATCTAATAAACAAAAAATAGAACTAGAGAAAGAGGCATATCTGGAAATACAGGGTGTCTCATAAGTTGATACTTTTTTAATTAGCTTCTGTAACGATTTTGTTTTATGAAAATTTAGCTTATTTTATTGAAGATTATAAAATTTTAGCCTAAAATTGCACCCCCAAATCCTCGAAAAAAAATATTAAAGTTGGAATTTTCATGGTAGAGATGGTAGCCAATAGTATTTTTGTTTTAAAATTTGTTTTCAAATTTCTAAGCATTTTTTTCTTTCCACTGTATAAAACTAACATACGCACACGAACAAGAGTCAACGAATGAATCTTTTCTTTGCAATTAAATAAATCCCTATTCATTTGGCAACATTGCCAGCCTGTAAGTGCTAAATATTTTTTTCTTTTGAATGCCCTTTTCTCCGAAAAGAGTTCCGATTAGTTATGGAAATTATTGTTCTCTCAGAAAATTATACACTATTATTAACCATTTCTATACAGGGTGTCTCATAAGTTGATACTTTTGTTTTAACTGCGTAAGATTTTTTAATTCTAAGCAATTTTACATGTAATTTTTTTAATATTCCAAAAAATAAAAAAAATGAAAATTCTTAATATTTCTTTAAATTTCGAATATTTTCCAATACGTACCTGCCATTACCATACAGGTGTGAAAAAATTATAAATAATTATTAATTAAATAATAATTCTAAATAATTTTTTTAAGTAAATTTTGTTAATTTATTTTTGTCAATTTTTAATTATTATAAAGTTAGTCAATACGGCCCTGTTCATTAAAAGTTAAAGGAACAAAGGCTCAAAAATGTCACCATTTTGATTGATTGGCATTAATAATTATTTATTATTTTTTTGACACCTGTATAGTAATGGCAGATACGTATTGGAAAATATTCGAAATTTAAAGAAATTTTAAAAATTTCCATCTTTTTTATTATCCAGAATATTAAAAAAGTTTACTTG